CTATGTGATAAAGTATCCATGTAAAATATGAAACTTTGTTTCTTATATTTAACAATGTCAATGAAGCAAATATAAATATATTTATCTTGCGAAAAAAAACAATTTTCTATAATTAATTCATAAACTGACATTATTAATTATTCCATTACACTAATGGAAACACAAACCATTAGAATCTTTGGCAATGGTTCAAACACTCTATGCAATAATCACCAATATTGAATTAAATAACAATGATTTCATATCCAACCTTATATTAGAAGGCTCGCTAAGGCTGTGTCTTCACGATGCAATTATAAAAGTTGATGAATTAATTATAGACGAACATTAAGTCACAGATGAAGGCGAGTGATTTTGTTCTTGGTAAAAAGAAAATGAAACTACGATGGTTATATACTTATGTACCTTTTATTCACTTTGGAAGTTTTACATATTCACGTTAATTATTAACAACATAATTCTTTGGTTCTTTTTTTTGTATCTCTCAATTCTTCATTGCTCTGAAAATATAAATATAAGAGACAGTCAATAAAAATTCCTACTTTCTATAACATAGTTATAATAATAATAAACTAACAAATAATAAACTAGCTCCTTCTCTTTTTTTATAACTTCTAATTCTTCTTGAGTTTTTACTTCATCGTCACTTTCTCAATCGCTACTATAGTCTCCCTTCCTTTCTTTATTTGCAAGTGCAAGCGATTCAACAGCTGCTTGTGAGCTTCATTTCGAATCACTTAAATGATCACGAGCTGATTTGCACATACCACTAACCTTTTTATTTAATATCGAAGATTCTTCTACATTTTCCTTTGCTTCTTCACCAAATGATAAAACATTAGAATCTCTGTAACAAAATTTGTCATAGCAAGAAATAATACTATCAGGGCGAAATTCTGCAAACATATAGATGATTTTTACTTTACTCTTGCTGTCTTAGTTTTTGAATTGTCCTTTACTTCTTCATTTTCCTGTACTATTATTCTTGGTATAGTATCAGAAAATGGATTGTTCAATATTTTAGTTTTTATCAATCTTGGAGTATAATCCAATTATCCATTATTCTACAAAAAAGGAGGAAATATTATATTTATATCAATGCTTGATATATATTCTTGCAAACGTTAGATTTACCACATCTACAAGTGCTTCTTCGAGTTTAAGCATACTATATATAGATTCACCAGTAACTCTACCAAAGATTGGACGTTTATTCTGCAAATCTGGTGTAGAATTAAGAATAAAGAAGTATTGGGAACCATTGTCATCTTTCCAGCATTAGTCCCAGCAATTAAATCTCGTCGACAAAAACGTAAATTTGTATAAAATTCGCCCTAAAACACATATATCCAATAACTATTTTTCAATAAGAAAGGAATTCATTTTATTTTTAAATATAGTCTTACTTTAAATGGTTCTCCATATATTTTACCACCTTCTCGTCTACCTGTGGGATCACCATCTTGTGTTATGAATCCTTTGATAATTCTATGAAATATAGTGTCATCCCAATAACCTTCCATGCATAACTGTATGAAATTACTATGAAGCATGCCTTTGGAGTTTCTTTTGTCCATAATTTTAACTCAATATCACCAACAGTTGTCTTCATTACAATCTAGTTATAAGAAATACATTAGTTTTATTAATGTAAAATACTTATAAACTCAAATTTATTAAAATTTATTGTTTATTATTGTAATTCAAATTAGAAAGTATTTGATATATTATTATAGAAGTCTAGATTTTTAAAAACAGATATACATTACATTGGAATATTATTAACTAACACTTACTATACCCATAGTATATGGCTCTTGTACATATACAGTGCTGGACAATTTTATCTTTAATAACTATTACCACTTGTTCCTTCTCCATCTCTTCAATGATCCTCATATTTCCATGTCGATGCCACAGATTTTTCTCTGTTGATATATATGCCGCTTCTTTTTGGCTTCTTGATTCCGTATAACATGCGTTCCCTCTTGTCACTTCTTTTATTCGAATTTAACACATTAGCGATGATCATTGACTTTGACCACTGATATTAATATTTATTTATATTAGGAATACAACATTCCTTTCGACCTCAATGTATTCTCTATATCTTGTTGTTACCAGAGTCCATCATCTAAATTAATTTTATTCTTTTCTGTCTGTCTAAACCATCTCTCTTTTATTAATATTGATTTGACGGTCAAAGATTTCTATATTGTATGTTATATGGTTAGCTGACCTAGAAGAAAATAAACATATCTCATTTGTATTACTACTTTAATTTCTTCTCGCTATGAAATATAATTCATGGCATCTAATGGCTCTACACTGCTGATATTACACGAGTCCAATACTTTTATCTTCTTGCACGTGGCCGTTTATTTCAGCAGAATATATTATTCCAACAGAAATATTTTTACAACCAGGCTCTGCTGTCACTAATAAAAGATGGAAAAACAATGGCTTATATCTAACTCTATTTAATTACAACCGAAGATTATGTTAATACAAAGACTCGTATTCTTTTGCGCGATCCAGGCACACCTCCATGGACATAACAATGCTTCCGGCGTTTGTTTGCAATTTTTTTTTCATCTCCCATGCAATCTCCTGTTCACTTAAAGAAAAATTAACAAATCACTCATTTTCTCTAATTAATTCATGAAAATTCATAGCTGTACAGCAAAGTTGGAATTATAGGCAACATTCATATACAATGTGTAATTTAATAATTAATACTTACATGAGCGATAGGTTTTGTATTTTCTGTATCTAATGATTATTTATATTTTCGTTTTCTTTCAATAGCAAATAAGATTGCTATAAAAAACTGTTTTTCTTGCATAGTATTCTTATTATTTTGTAATAAATATATACTAGCATAAGAAAGCGTAAAGTATAAATTTTTTTATTAAGAAATTTTTGTTACAATTGTTTATTTACAATGTTTTCATAGGCGAAAAATGAATACAAAATAAAAAATAGATTGAAAAAAGACTACCAACTATGGACGGGAATCGAACGTCCAGGATAGGAATTCTCGAATGTCGTCATTATGCCACGACTCTACTTCAAAACTATTGGAAATAAATCTATTTAAGGAAGTAATAAAACTTTAATCGTAAATATCTCAAAAACTATTGAGCAGTTGCGTCTATAATGATATATATTCCTGAACTGCATGACGAAATCTATAAATCTGCAAAGTTTCAACTAAATCGGTGACCCGGACTTGCACTCTCCTTTTAAGTTAATATTGCTACCAACAGATTATTCCACAGATAAGTTTACAATCAAAGTGAAAAAGTTAGTAAATTATTTATTGTTATAAAAGAAAAGTATTAATTAATGGCTGATAGAGATTTCTGTGCCAATGCGAGAGTCTTTTGGAGCTAGTAGTTCTTGACACCAACGTGTACACAATCTGGGTGAAGGTCCTGTGATACGGATGTGCATTATGTGGTCGCCGACAGGTGGTTCCTTAATTATATCTACAATATCGCAGTTAGCGCTTTCTTATTATTGCTAAACAAAACAGAAAATTCCCAGGAAACATATGGGTTATTATATTTTCAGGAATTTCGTCACCATTCATAATTCAGAAGTGTTCCAAATGATGGATAGAACTTTAAAGACTTGTACTTCAGAAACTAATTGAGATATTGAAATTAAATAAAACGTATTATCAAAAGCAAGCTTCGCTTTATATCTTAACCTGCTTTCATCTGAAAATTCTTTGGTATGTTTCGTTCAAATTGTAATAGATATGGTAAGTGAATTTTATTCTGAACCTTTTGGACGACGATTATTTCATAGATAGTCATCGGTTTTAAATCTTATAAAGAGATTTGCAATTAAACATGATACATTTGTTGATGGCACAATTTATACTAAAATTATCCCTCTAAGCAAGTTAAAATTTCCATCTGTATAATGTTAATACAGAAACGAATCAATTTCTTATTACTATTAGGGAGATATTATTAGGGAGGTAGAATGATTTTTGCAAAAAGATTTGGATGAAATTAATTAATGAGAGTTTATTATCCAAGAACATATACACGTAGATGAACTGGTCGATTTAAGTCGGGCAATTTACACACATTTAAGAGCAAGCAATTTGCACACCTGTAAAATTATGTGAAGTTGTAATAGATCGACCAGTCGGGCATAATGTTTCCTTGACTATACAATAGTTAAGGTATTTTATGTACAGGCCATCGAGAAGAGAAGAATGGAACGTTTATTATTATTCGTTATTTTCAAACTACTAACATTCGCAATTACTTGTTGTAAACATTTATGTTCCACCCCAACAAATGCATGTTACGCTATTATTACGATTTCAATGCAATTTTGCATTCATTCATTTAGAGTGCTACTTTAATTAAATGTAAATATCTATCATATTACAAATAAATAAATCACCTAAAAAAAAAATCAATATTGTCCAGAAAAAATAAATATTTAACATATATAAATATTGTACCAAATGAATAAAACAACCTTCCATTTACTTTCATAGTAATACGCGTACATCTAATTACTTGAACTTCTTGAAAACAATACCCACAGAAAGAATCTTACTATATGTTATTTTAAATCTTAAGTAGAAAATATCGATTACAGGAAGTGGTCAAGATTATATCAAATAAATTACATGAATGAATATAAAAATTGTAACTATAAGTCATGATACTGAAAACAGCATTTCCTTAGTAACATGCATTTTTTAGGTCTAATCAATCCTGTAAAATAAATATCCACAAAAAATGCTTTTTTGCCAGATTTGACAGAATTGGGATACTATTTAGAATGTCATCTGTACATAAATAGTTCTGCAGCATTATGCAACGTGTACGCTAACTTAATGCATACAGTTGTTTATTCGGCAGTTTTCATCCATTGTAATACTGATCTGTTACTAGAAACGCTTTCTGGTAGACATCTGCGATGCGAAATAATGTACAATCATAATTTCAAGTTGTTTCAAATGAAGTTTATAGTGAGTTAATCATCAAAGTTCGGAGGAAAACAAGGCTGACGATTGTGATGCACAGGTTGTTCAATTTCTCGTGGTACATTGGCGCTGCATTCCATTGATCGTGGTGAACCGCTGCTTGCTTTTCACCTACAATCCAAATACATTTTATATTAATATGTGACGTTACATGGAACGTTACATATGTGAGTAAATGGATAAACTAATAAGAAGATTTATTTAACATAATAACAGCACAACACAAATTATAACTAAATTTCGTAAAATAAATTCGCTTCTAACTGCGATATAATCTCTCGAGGACTCTCTCACACACAACGTCTATTTATAATCACTGTCATTCAGCTACTGATTGGTTTTTCACGACTCTCTGTCATACTTGTCACACAGCATTCTTCCACACAAACATTCCTCACACTCACTCATAGCACACATTCTATGACAACCACTACCACAACATATATTCTATAGTTGTGTAATTTTATTATAATATCAAATATACATAAGAATTAATTTATATCAGGTTATACATGTCTGAACCTGAACAAAATATGAAATATCTGATATTTCTATTAAAGTATCAATTTGAATAATATAAATTTTGAATTCATTTCTTTTATGATATACTTTTATTAAAATTCAAATCGTAATTTCATTAATATTTTCAAATAAGTTCCAGTCATTTATTTTGTAACCTCAAGTTCATTGAATTTAATGATAAAACATCATATGAAACATACGTATGAAACGCTATGTCTGTAATCGTAATTAACTTTTTATAATTTAAAATAACTACACCTTTAAATTGACATCGTTCCAAGTGGAATATTTTGGACGTTTGATTATGGATATGAAATATATTATTAATTTTATTTAATTATTTAATTAAATTAAATTAATTGTTCAATTAAATTATTAAGTCAAATACATGCACACGTATAAAAATTTTAAATATTTACTGCGATATACAGGAATAAATATGATATAACAAAGTTTAATGTATAAAATAAGTATGCAACTTTTAATACTTTTTTAATATGTAATAGCAAGTTTTAAAAGATAAGAATAGTTTTTACAAATATACTATTTTTATTATAATTTATTCGAATATTTTAGCATAATTCTATCTGTTACTTTATCATTAAAAGTTGTAAGCATGAGCCTTGGTAATAAATGCCACTTGGTCGTTTATTACGCTGTATACATTTACTTCAAACTGCTTCGCAAATAGATCAAAAGGATTACGTGACCTATACGGTTGTTAAAAACTCAAATCGGAGTAACGACTTTTACAAATAACCATTGGTGTATCACCGGTCATAAAATTTAGTCAAATATTTTTGGAAATTTCTATTTCAAACGAGTTACATGTACAGTAACCATATAACTTCCAAGGAGTTCTTCTGCATACTGTATATTCTCTCACTGGGAACATGATTTATTTTAACAATCAAAAATCAATGGATTTACCAATGTTTCTTAAGAAACTCAAGAAAAGAATGACATATGTAAGATACATTGAAGTGATTATTGTTGGAAAAATAATAATAATTCAATAATTGCCAATGAATCTATTAACGACGCACCGTACATGACATACGGAAGCACATACATATTTGAAATATTAACATTCCAATTTTTGTCACTTATAATTTTACCACTGATACATCTAAACTGAAATAGTAATAATTATCATTTGATTAAGAGATTTATACGGAAATAATTTAGAATTCATAAATATTTGACATACTCGACATTATAAGTTTCTATTGTTTAGATTTATTCGATTACAAACTATTTACCTCTATTCTTTTTCTTTAAGACTTTATCGAAATCCAGTTTACATTCTACAAACTCCTTTCGATCAATCGATCGTCATATATATTATTCTACGAACGCGTGACCCTTAATTCAATTTACCATTCAGAACGTGAATATGCACCGCGGCGGTACTGAATTGGCTCACTGAGCACGAGTATTCGCCGCTGTCAGTCTTTTTCGCCTGTTCGATATACAGCTTGGTCACCAGATCTTCGTTCGACCTGAAAAATCAGTTGTCATGTTATACGTCGGACGTACATGTACATTTCAATAGATATTCCCCCCAAAAATGCAAACGTGCGGTGTTGAATCACGGAACCATCAGATATCGTCAAAGAATGGAACAAATATTGAACTATAATGATTTGTTTTAACCATCTAATTGAGATCAGTATGTTTGAATCTGAATTTTTATTAGAAAATGTGTAATATTAATTCTTGATTTTTATTTCATCAGTTTCAGACAGTTTGGAGTTGATTCGCGAAAATATGCAATAGAGCGTCGATTAAGCTTGATTAAATGCGTTTAATTCCTAACAAATTTTTGGTACAGTTTACTTTAGATTTCAATTTATAATCCAATTCCATTGTATTCTTATTTCAGAACTAAATAATACGACCAAATCGTGCTTACGAGAAAAAAAGGTCGCAGGTATTTGCTTTCATGCAAAATTTATTTATCACATTAATCTTACCCTGTCTACCTCCACTTCTTGCTATTCGAAGCTATGCAAATTTTGTTAGATCCTCGGACATCAGCCACTAAATCATAACGGTATTCCGAAATACAGCAGATCCTGACCAAAATTCGATGGCTGATACCTCGGCGTATTTAACGTGAGACACGATCGTGTTCTAATCTAGCAATTTAGATCTTATTCGTGTACAATCACGCTAAAATCCCATTTCAAAAGGAGTCGGTCAGTAGCTGGTGTCCGACGAATCAAAAGTTTCTTTAAAATTATGAACATTTGACTATACTTATAGGAAACAATCGTTAAAGCCATTTTTAACAATTTTGAAAGCAACGATTCGAGTTGAACGGATGCGAAATTAATGAAAATAATGTGAAAAAAAAAAAAATGGAACGAGAAACACACCTATGGTAAACGCAAGCGAGGCAAATCGAAATAGAAGTAGTGGTTGCAAGGGCATTGAGCGTCTCGTAGAACGCCTCAAGGGAGATTAAACGGTTCGCTCGTTATCCAGAAAGGGTGCAGGTTAACGCTACACAGCTTTCAGCGGGGAGACGAGCCGATAAAGCGGTGGGTGTTCGCTGATACGCGGACACAATTGCACATCGATAAATGAACGTAAATCGGAACGCGGTTTATCTGTCGTGGTTCCGTTCGATCCGCCGTTTTGCCACCCCTATATGCTCACCCGTTAATGTGATAAACGTTGACACGATCCGGCAACGTTTCGCCATTTTTCCTCCAGACAGGATGAGGTATCCTGTAGTCGGGGCAGGAAGGTCGAGCAACGCAAGCCAGCTCGATACCACTTCCGGTTTTGTAGTACCGATCCCGTAGTTCATGCCTAGCTTCGTCTACGATCCTAATGTCTGGAGCTGCAAAATGATCGATCATGACGTATTGCAAAAATGACTACATCTTTTCTTATCAATGTCTACTTTTCCAACGTCATATCTATGTATATGTATATGTATATGTATATGTATATGTATATAAGACGAATAAATCCCACGTTATCATAAAAATACTTTCCACTATTATTATTATTATTATACAAATAGTATGAAAGAAAGAAAAAGATTAAATACACGATAATAAAATGATGAAATTGTAGGGCATTAATTAGGTACAGCGAGATTCATGCTTGTCATTCGTGCGAACTGTTGCGAGGACACGACGATTTGTGGCAAACTCTAGGATCCTCCAGTTCGTGTTCCATGATCGTGGATTAGAGAGATCGAGGGAAGTTCCACTATCCAAGAATGGTCCAATGTTGGTCACATGATTCCAGGACGTTGGATATTGGACACCTTGATCGATTGAGTGGTTCGTTTCATTTCTGGATCACAGGATGACGCTCTACTCGAGTTCAACGACACTGAGTTGAAGGTAATCAGTGTCGTCAAACTCCTGAGTATCACAGCTCGGATTACATGATTCTGGATTCATTTAAGTAGAGGTCTTTAAACTCCGAGGTGGCTTGGCACAGTTCCTATGAATCTGAGGAGCAAAGTTGTGAGTACCAATACTGTATACAGTCGTGTGTCGTAATTACGAAGTTTAGAGTCTAAATCACTATGATCCATCCGATATTTTCCGTTCATTTCCGTCTCTTCCTTTTTCCTCCGAAACTTCTACCATGTTAGTTTCATATAATTTTTGTATGATTACACGATGTAACAATTTCATGTTTCTTAGCCTCTATAAGCCTCGGTACTGTAGAAATTCCGGACGAGACTCCCACATAATAATACAATATAAGAATCCCGGACGAGATTTCAATGTTACGTAGGATCAAGGTGAAAGGTGGTGAGGTGTGGTGCGAAAGATGAAATCACTGCTAGCGAACTTCCGATAAGCCTTCACTAGGCGACTACGACTGACAACTGACTAACTAACTGACTCGCCGACTAAGGCTTAACTGACTCTTAACCGACTAACTGGCTCGTCTAATAACTGACTCATCTCCAACTAACTCTTAACTTGACAACTGACTGACGACTAACCTAATTAATAATCAACTAACTGATCTCCAACTAACTCCCTGTCTTCCAGGACGGGCTCTTTTAAAGCCTGTCCAAAAGACAAGCGCTTTCCCGAAGAAGGAGAAACTCCTCCGTCAAAGTCAATAGCCCCTACGAAAAGTCACCCACGTGGGGACCCTTTCTGAGAGGTAACCGCGGTCGCGTCACTCTCGGTTTATGTCGAGGAAAGCCGGGGTTTCGCGAGGCCACCTCATGTGGCCTGGCCCCGACCTCCTACGGCCCATTTGACAGCCAGATCCTAATTGCCGAAGCCTAATAGACTAAATAGACTTTTCAACGATGCCTCGTGTCCAGTGACCCGAGGCGACACAGAAATTTGATTACAATAAATGAACAAATAAACACCGAGGCACGTAATGTTCGGCATTTAGGATTTGGCTATTGAAAGATCGTAACGGGTCTTTCTGTACCTTATGTCTATTTTCCAAAACTATCCTACAGTACTGGAATTTGTACTATAGTGTGGTATCGCAGGATGAGCGGGTTATCTAGAGTGCGTGCGAAAGGATGAATGATCGTGCGCTAGGATCGTGTGAACGGGAAGTTTATGAATGTATCGAGTGGCTTTAGGAATGCGTTTGAGTGTTTGGGCTGAGTGACCCGCTGAGGGTAAGATTGCGAGGAGTGCGTGGGGAAGTATGATTGGAAAGAGAGAATAGGTATGAAAGAGGATAGAATGGATGGTTTTAAATAGGGATGCAAGGGCGTGAGTGGGCAGAGAGATAGAGGGTGTGGAGTCGGTCGCGGTGCGTGTAGTATAGGAGAGTTCAGAGAGAGAGAGTTGTGAAAAAAGGTGTATTAGTGTTGCGAAGTATAAACGTGTTGTTAGGATTAATAAATAGTTTTAGTATTATTCGTGTTGTCCCACCCTATCTCTACAATAGGGTACTGAATTTTTGCTAATGTAGCAGAGAGGAGGTAATTAAAAGTTAGTTTATCCACATTCTTACTCGCGTCTGACGTTCCTAATAAGGGAAGAAAATCGCTATCTTGCACAGGGCAGCTTCGCATTTAGTTTTTTACGCGTTTGTTACCGTGCTTAGACCAATTCGATTTCCTACGATTATAATCGTAGGAAGCCGCGTTGCAACATCTCGAACAAAGTTCTCCTATTTCCGGTGAGTACATCTTCAGCCAGCTGCGCTGTCTCGATTGTTTTCCCCAGACGTGCGTTCCTTCTTTCGCGGGGGCAAACAGCTGCCGTTCGATAATTAGGTAAGCGAGCTCGAACTCGAGGAAGTTTCGTGGAAACGCGCAACAAGGTGATGCGTTCCTCTGGCTAAAAAGGAAGAAGAAAAATAGAGCGACGAGGGTACGTGACACGGTACGTGCTCTCGTTTCAGTAGAATCCTCCTCTCCGTGGGGTCCCGCAAGATTCCCCCGACGTAATTGAATCTTTCCGGGCACGAAATTCAAACTCGTTTCAACGTTGCTGAAGAAAATGCAACGTTTCGTGCGCATCCTCAACCGCGAACCCGTAAATGTGATTTAGTCGGTATACAATGATGTTACGCGCGTATACGGATGTGAAAAATAATCAAAAGTAACGGCGGTGTAAAGATTTAGGTACCGATTCGATGGAACTCGGTATGAGAAATTAATTATCGTTAAACGTGCAGTCGTTATCATATATGCAGAGTGATAATAGAATTACTATATCGTAAACACGAGTTCCATAAGTATGAATATTGTCAGTGTTTCGTCATGTTTGTATCATACATGTCTAGAGTGCTTTTCTATCGAGTATTGTTGAATATTTTAAAAGCATAGCCATTCGGCTAGGCTTTGTGCGTGAATAGCGTTGTCGATAAATTTCGTTATTGTTCGTTAGCGACGGTTAGTTTGATGGATCGGTACACAAAAGGTGCAAAATGTGTTCGAAGCACGTGGAAATGCAGGTTGTTTCGAAGCGTGCATTAATTTGCGAGCTTGAGTGGTTATCGTTAACTTATTCACGCTATCGATTATCTTGTTTTTCTTTTTTTTTTTTTTTTTTTTTTTTTTTTAATTTAATCACGACGCCTGATGTATCAAAGTTTTCCGTTCGGAACATAATTTTGTTAAGTTTTAGGAAACGAATTAAATTCTGCTAGTTATCTCGGAAGTGTATGCAATTATCGACAATGATGTCTTCGTTACATGGGAAACTGTAACTCGCGTGGCCGCAATTTTGAGTAATTCTACTTGAAAAAGCTTCCGATGAAAGGTAGGAGTTTACAAAGAAAACGATGGAAGCTAGAATTTTGTAAGAACTTGTAAGGCATCGATAAGGAAAGATCGGCGCAAGTATTTACTTGACGGATGTAGCACCTTCGCCTCAGGATCATATTTCATTCGCGTAGACGATCCAACTTTATATACGGGCACAGTAGAAGAACTTTTTATCACATCATGTGTATCTCATGGGTATATGACACCATTCGAAACGAGTCACTCAGTTACGTGGTGACGAATTTTCAACTTCTGCTGCTCCATTATAAACTTAATCTCTAAAGCAATTCCAAGTTCATACAAACCAAATTACAACGGTAATTTACTCGAGTGATTCGTCTTTCTCGCGAAACACCATTGCAACTGCGTACTTTCATAGATGCAAACTGCAATGCTATTTAGAATAAGATGAAGGTGAAAGTTTATTCCGTTACATTAACATCGAATGTGTAAACATTCATAACATCGAAGTTTAGTTTGCCGATCCTAATAGGTAGTAAAGTATCAACCAACTATATCATATAAACCAAAGATATTTTCCTATCCTACTTGCGTATATTTCATACCAGTCGCGATATCATTACTTTTTTCATTCCTTCAAAACCGCGTTAAAGTAACACCGTGAAAATCCAGTTCACGAGATATTTATTAAAATTAACCGCGAAGCGATCCATTGCAGCTAAATCTCCGAGAAGCAGACTATTTGTGGTGCCTTATGCCTCACACGTCTCTCCTCTGCCGCGTTACGAAGGAAAAATAAGTTCCAAGTGAAAAAATTTATGACCCACCCTATACTATTCCTCATCTCCTGTCTCTTATCTCTCCGCAATCGTTACCACAGCATCCCATATATCACACAGAACAAAATATTATCCGTCTCGCGTTCCATCAAATTCTAACAATCTTCAACGCCATTAACTCGCTACCTACGATACAAACGTATGAAAACGCGCGACACGCGGTAATGACACGCGCGTGTCGCCAAGTTTACGTCTTCAGCTCGAGGAGGCATCAGACCCCGGAGCAATCTATCAGAAATAACAATAGAAAACGACGACAAAGACGGTGGGTATGATAATTATCCCAGCTCGTCGGCGAACAGAACGCTGCAAATGCTCACAGGTAGAGTAGCACGGGTACTAAAGCGACGCGAGGTATCGAGCGATCCTGTGAATCGACCGAGCGCATGGCAGCGGTTCCTTGCCGGTGAAACGTGTCCTAAGTACACCGTTCACCGGGCGTTGACAACGATAAAAGTGTGCTACGAAATCAACTTATTGTGCTTTCGAGACGTCGCTATCGATCGAGCAGCTTTACGCGGGAGCTTTTCTCCGTCGCGACCTAATTGAACGCACGCCTCCCTACGGTGATTTATATCATATGCGAGATCCTCGCGCGATCCGCGCCTTTACGCGTCAACGAGATCCATGCCATCGATCGATGGGATACGCGAAATAGAAACAGAAAGGAAAGATTCCGCCCCGTCCTGGCTCTATTTTCTTCCTCTTCGTACCGCTTCGGGGTATCGATTGTGCCGACGTACGGGGTTGATCCTGGGTTATGAAGTTGCTTTGGACCAAGAGTCCGGAAAGATTTCATTTGTCGGTTGGCTCGGCCTA